CCTTTCCCCCTGCAGCTGGAAAGCACTATCCTCTTCTCTTGAGAAAACAAACATCAATGCTGCCTGTTGTATAAGGCTCTGGTTGGTTCAGTTTGCTTCCCTGGAGTGGCCCAATATATCTGTAACTTCATCCAACAGGGAGGCTGTGTAGGTGAGATTAAAACCTTTCCAATTAGACAATTTTCAAATGCATAAAATGCTCAGCTTCTGTCAGGAGCCTCCCCTGTTTAGACAAGGTGAGCAGGAAATTCAGATATCTTCCTAAGATGTGAGGGGTGGGAAAAGAGCAGGAACAGGATGACATCGGCCTAGTTAACTCAGTGAGTTTTTGGAGTCTGAGGACTCTCTACTATTGTGTATTTTCACATCTAAGGTGGATGCTCAGTGCTGCAATGGGGTGTTTGTGTTGACCTCTCTCTGCTTCTCCTCTGTGCCTCAGCACTGGAATGAACATCAAAATCTAGGACCTAGACATCAAGGTAAAATTTCCCTGCATTAAAATATATGTCTTCTATAAAGAGACTTAATGTCAGAGTACCACTACAGAAATTGCTTGAATATTTTCTTTTCCGAAAATAAGTAATAGACTAGAAATGAGAACTGAGAAAGGAAGACTTCCTCACTTTTACAATGTACAGAGGAATATGTGCACCAGGGCAGCCTGTCAGCACCAGCTGATGATTCCTGCATCTGGTTCCTGTTTCACAGCAAAGCCTGTATTCCCAGTTTTGGAACAAAAGATTACCAGAGATAACTGATGGAAAACATATCCCAGTTATTGACTAAGCAGCCTCACCTTCACCCTGCAGCTAATTACAAAGTTAAAACTGTAGTAAAAAAAATCCATATTTATCCAAATAACCCATTTAGTGTATTTCTGCTCCAGAAATGAAGCAATATTCCATTGTAATCTCTGGCCCTGTTTTATCTTTTTCTATGTAGACTTGTTATGACAAAATCTCTTTCATTTTAATTAAATTTTTCCAGATACCATCTTCATAAAACTAGCACTCAGAGAGGCATAATCATTATTTTTAATAGAGAGAGTTAATGCTTGTTAAAAATGCTGGAGGATTGTCACTACTTATGTTTCCTGTCTAAGAGGAGAAGAAGAGGAAGGGTTCCTCAGATCTGCTTTTCCAGGGTGATCTTTCTACCAGTTTAAGACCTGGTCTACAAAAGTGGGTAAGGGCTGGCTTATTTTGAGCATACAAATCACCTGGTAACTTCAATGAGATTTATCAGGGTGTTTCAATGGGACAGGTTTAAAATGAAGCCTAAATACTTGACTGCCTTCACATATGACTTTTTGCTCATTTCATAGGGCTCATTTTTAGTTAACAGCTTTCTCTGCTTGGATTGAGATTTCCAGTTCATTCCATGTGTATCACAGAGCTACGAGGTGGCAACTGTGTTCAGCTGCTGGCACCATCCAGCCTGAGCCAAGATGAACAAGCCTAGAAGTGAAGGAGAATGCAGCCTGTGACTTGATTTCCTTGAGGGGGAAAAGAAGCAAAGATGACTGCAAGTGTAGGATTCCTATCAATTTCCAGCTTTGCCATGGCAAGCAAATGCCAAATATCTTCTAAAGTGACCTGAATTAACCTTCCTGTAGTGGCAAAACCTGTGGGCTCCTTTCTCCCTGTGCAGGCAGAGCTGTCAAGGACACAGCAGTCCTGCCTCGCTGCTGACAACCCACAGGGATGTCTCAGGTACCAAAGGACATTTCCAAGGGCCCCAATTACCTGTGTTTAGGCAACAGAGCTGTCCCCTCCTGACAGAATGGTTCCAAATGGAGCTTTGCTCCCAGGCACACCAAGGACAGACAATCCTGCTGCTTGGCCAAGTTCTGAAGTTCATTTTCAGGAATACTCCCACTGATCTAAGGCATGCCAGGATTTCATTTACTGCTGGGAAATGTGAAACCGCCCTGGCTAAAGTATCTTAATTAGGCCATTAGAGCCTGGTATAAAATGGCTGAGTTAAACAGGGTCAGGAGGGCACAGGATATTGTCAGTGCATTGTAAAGCCTTTGCTGCTCAGCTCCAGCTGTCCAGAACCACATTTCCATGAAATAAAACACCTGAGCCCTCTGTGTGGTGGCTCCTGGAGGGTTCCTGGGTCAGTGCTTTTCACACAGTCAGCACGTGGGCAGGGAGCCAGAGCTTCTCTGCCCTCTCGTGCCTTGTGCTGCTTGGACTTTCAGTTTCTAATTCTGATGTGCTTTAAATTAGTCCAGCTTTGGGGTTTGCTCTGCGTGTTTAGGGCAGTTTGAAGGGCCTCATCTTTGGTTTTCCTGTGCAAGGGCTGGTTCCTGAATGAGGACTCTGGCACCCGTTCTCTTCACGCAGCTTTTCCAGGAAGGATTTAACAACTGTGGTGACACCGGGAGACTGAGCTGGAAGAATTTGGGGAAGTGTCAGATCTAGGGCCTGTATATGTGTGTGCACGGAATCACAACATGGATTGGGTTGGAATGGACATCAAAGCTCATCCAGTGCCACCCCCTGCCATGGGCAGGGACACCTGCCACTATCCCAGATTGCTCAGAGCCTCATCCAGCCTGGCCTTGGACACTGACAAGGATGGGACAGCCACAGCTTCTCTGGGCCTCACCACCCTTACAGGGAAGAAATTATTCCTAATATCCAATCTAACCCCACCCTTTTTCAGTTTATAGCCATTCTCCCTTCTATCACTCCATGCCCTTGTAAAAAGTTACTCTCCAGCTTTTTGCAAGCCCCCTTTAGGTACTGAAAGGGGCTATAAGGCTTCTCCAGAGCCTTTTCTTCCACAGGCTGAACAAACCTCACTCTCTCAGCCTGTCTCCATAGGAGGATCTTTGCTGGTGTCTTTGTATCCCAGTGGGTACAAAAGAAAATGGCAAATCCAATATATTCACTATAAAAGAGCAAAAGAGGGACCTCTAGAATGGCATAAACATATATCTAGATGGTAAGACCCTTTTTCTAAATTTGGAGACTCATCATTTCTAATCTCTACCATTTATGCTCAGAAGTGCAATTAGGTTGGAAGTTATAGATCTGAGAGATTAAATCTAAATGTGAAACCCTCAGCTTGTGACTCATTACCACCAGTGTGCACACTCCTGCGATTAGATTAATATTCTTATAACTTCAGAGTTGGTACTTGATCAGGCTCTTTTTTCTTATTGCAAACAGTATTTTTTAAAAATATAGTGGTTAACAAATACTGTTACTGAGTTTGCTTGTAATTAGGAGAGCTGTGAAAGTTAGGTAAATGACACCTGAAAAATCATAAGAAGTAGAAATAGTTTGATTCTTAGAACCATTAGTGAAAATTACATTTTTGTTTAAAAAATGCACAGTATTTTTAAAAATAATAGTCTCCTGCTGGGGATAGCCTTACCTTGAAACTGAACACTTCCATCTGATACTGGATGCATGGTGTGGTGGGCTGGCCCTTAGTTTTGGGCAGTGAGCTGGAGCTGAGTGGGTTTGTGCAGCCTCCCTGAGCCCCTTTGGCCACCAAGGCGTGGGCTGCAGCCTCTCTGACAACCGTGCCCTCTTCCAGCTGGGCGTGTTGGGGAAGCCCTGGCAGCCCCACTCTGCTGGGGAGGCTGCAATGGCCTGGGCTTCCAGGATGATCTCTACATTGAGCGTGGGGCTTTTTTATCGTTAAATTGGTGGTAATTTTCTTATGGAAATGTGTGCTGTTGGGGGTGAGAGGGGCCCTCAGCCCTGGGTGTCCCTGTGTGCAGGAGGGCTCCGAGCAGGGCCCAGCAATGGCACCAGAGCCACGGGCAGGGACTGAGCCCAGGAGGCTCCACTGACAGGAGGCACAACTTCTGTCCTGGGCAGGGACTGAGCCCTGAACAGATTGTCCAGAGAGACTGTGGAGTGTCCTCACTGGGGATATTCCAGACCCCTCTGGACACAATCCTGTGCCCTGTGCTCCAGAATGTTCTGGAGCACGGAGATGGCACCAGCTGACCCACTGTGGTCCCTTCGGCCTGACCCACCCTGTGAACTCCTGCACAGCAGCATGGTCTGCGTCTCATTAAAAACATTAACTAAAGGAGTTGTGGCTCCTGAAGTCTGCAAGCCATAAAACAGAAGGTGACACTTTTAGCGACCACTCCAAGCCCACTCTGGGTGGAGCGGGCGGCTGTGAGGAAGGGCCGCCGTCCCCTCACACCGCCCGATTTCGGCCTGCGCCCCTTAAGCGCTGCCCCCGGGGTTCCAGCCCCGGACAATCACTGACTGGAGAGCTCGGCAGCCCTTCCCCAGCCCGCAGGTGATCCGGGGCTGCCTGCCCGGAGCTGGGTGCCATGCCCGGGGCTGGCTGCCGTGCCCGGGGCTCCGTCCTCTGCCCGGGGCGGGGCGGGGCGGGGGCGGGCAGGGGCGGAGCGCGGGGGGCGGGCGGGGGCCGGGCCGTGCCGAGCCGCGCACCGCGCTCCTGTCAGCCCTCTCGGCACCTCGGGGGCCGCGCTCAGCCCCCAGCCCGCCCGCCTCGGCTCCCGGCCTCCCCACGGATCGCTGTCATTCGCTTTGATTTTATTTTTCATTTTTAAATTTTTTTTTTTTTTTTTCCACCTTGGAGGGGAGGAGCGCGGAACCCAGCTGGAAGATGAACCAGAATGTCTGAGAAAATGTCCAGCTTTCTGTACATCGGGGACATCGTGTCCCTGTACGCGGAGGGCTCCGTCAATGGGTTCATCAGCACGCTGGGGTGAGTGGGGGCCGGGCGGCGGAGCCGGGCGCGCTGCGCGGAGCCGGCCCGCGGGCAGCGCCGGCGGCAGCGGCACAGGAAGGGGCGGCAGCGCTGCTCGGCGGAGCGGGGAAAGTAGGAAGTGATGGGGAGCGGCAGGGGATGAGAGAAGTTCCCGAGCGGGGCCCGGGCGGCCGCGGTGCCGGCGGCGGTGCCGGGATCCCCGCTCGGCTCCTGCCGGGGCTGCGCCCCCGCGCCGGTCCCGAGCACAGCACCGGAGCCCGCTCCCTGCCCTGCCCAAACGCCTTGCTACGGGCTTTATGTATAGCTGACCTTTGAATTAATTGAGTTTTATTGCCCCTCCGAGAATTTTGGACAAATACGTAAAAGGCAAAACCTTTGCTTTTTTTGCTCATCGTCGTAGTCAGTTTGTTAAATGTGCATTTCAGGTTTGTGTCCAGCACAATCTGCTTGACACTGCTTGTCAGTAATGAGATATTTATAATCAGTTGTTTAGCTTCATGGGGATGTTTTTCCCGTGAGCTCTTTCTCTTTGCGAAAATATGCATTTTAGTTGTGGCTACTTCACTGAACCGCTGCTTGTTTCAGGTTTTTATTAACAGTGACCTCTTTAAATCACCCTTTTGGAATCCAGGAGGGAAAGCCTCAGCGCAGAATGACAGAGATACACTGATACATTTCTTTACGTTGATACATTTTTAAAAACCATCCTGTAGTTCGGTTGCAGCGACCTGTCCCGAGGGTGCCGTGGTTTCCCTCTGATGTTTGCAGGAGAGCTGCAGGAGCTTCAGTGACTTTGTGGCATGTCCTGAAACCTTTGCCACTGGAAACAGTTGCTGTGCTGCATGGTTGTAAGCGATTGGCAAGGAAGGTCAAACTCTTGTAAATATCTGCTTAAACATTAGTGGCACCCTCAGAGTAGCAGTGAAACTTACTAAGGCAAGTTAATGTGTGCCTGGGTACTGCTCCGTGTTTGTGTTGGGCTCACTGTGTTCTGAGACCCTGTGATGGGGAGACTGTCGGCGTGAAAAAGCAAACAATGAATGTCTAAGTTAACTTGGTGTGCTGCTGTTACTGGAAAAGAGCTGCTGTTCAAGGTCTTATATTTTTTGAAATCTTATTATTGCGTCCAATCCTTGCTGTTCACTCTTTTGATCTGTTGACAAGTGTTTTTCCATGGTGTGTTCCTCTGTTTGTTAATTTGGCGCCTCGTCTCTCTGTGACTCCCCATGTTGTCTCACATCTTTTGTTTTGCTGTCTCTTACAACTTTAAATCCTGTCTGAAAAATTTCGCTTTCTGCAGCTGTTAATTGCTGGATATTGTTTCTTATTCTTGTTCTCCCCAGCACTTCCTTTTTGCTGGCACGGTTTGTTGTTGGTTGGTGGTGTTGTTGTGTCTCATCGCTGGGTTCTGTTATTCGGAGGAAGCTGAATGTGCCGTGCTTTTGCTTTTCATTGTGTTCCTCCTTTCTGAGAACACCTGCTCGTGTCATGGATGTTCCTGCTGTGTGCTTGTACAATTGTCATCACTTGAATACGTGTTTGCATCGCCCTGTCACAGAATTCAGACTGCTGATCCTCCCCTGAGTTAACTCCCTCCTCGGAGTTAAGGCAGGACATTTACTCCCAGTTTTATAGAAGGGAAGCCAAGATCCAGGCTTGCCTAGGGCACATGGGAGCTCTTTACTAGAAGAAACAAGTGAGCTTGAGCCAACATTTTCTATACAGGCTCTCTTTTAGCCGGAAAACACAGCTCAAGAAAACTACCTGGGATGAGACAGGAGTTCAAGAATGCTGATGTACCTCTGTTGGCTTTTCAGTACAGCTTTTTTGTGCCCTGCTCCCTGGCATGGTAAAGGCAGCTGCAGAACCAGGAGGCTGGAGTGGAGGAGCTCTGGGAAGCTTGAAGTCACCAATGGAAAACTCCCATGGCTACTCAGTGGGAATGCTGACCCCTCTGTTGGTGGTACAAGAGCTTGGACTGAAATTTAAAACTGTGGTGCCAAATGACGTTGTGCCAGCTATTGCAATTGCTGCCTTTGGACTGGCTGCAGCAACACAGGAGGCAGAAAAACCTCTTCTGTTCAGGGAAAAAGCTTGGCCAGCTGCATTTTTGGTGTGTAACCATTGCTGAACTCCTGCACCTTCTGCATTCCTGCAGGTTTCTCTGCAAATCTCTGGAAAGAGGAGGCCTCACCTTCCAAAGTTGCCTCTAGTTGGTGAGGATGAAGTGGGGTAGGACTGGGAATGATTACTTGCTTCATTTGGCTGATGTGAATCCTTGTTTGATTGCTCTTGCTCGGATTGCTCAGGGTGCTGTTCTGAAAGGTTGGCTTGCCCAGCAGCTCTCTAACACTACTGAGCCCACTGGGGAGTCTCATGCTGTTTCAAAAGCTTGAAATCCAGCTCAGGGCTAGTGACTGTTCAGCAGAGGGACAGTCCTGTTTATTTTAAGCTGTCAAAGGCTAATTGTTTCTTAAACAAAGCATGAGCGAGACCATTCTATAAATAAGGTAAAAAAATGCACAGCACCTCTACAAGCAGGGCAAGTCTGTCACATCAGTGGACACCACTCCTTGAAGGGTTGATCCAACTCAACACATGAGTTTTGAGGGAGATTTCGAAGAATATATAGGCTGTTTCTTGAATTTTGGAGTATTTTTTCCTCACTTGCCAGTGCAGAAATTTTCACATGCTCAGCGTTGCCAGAAAAATAAAAGCTGAGAGGAAGATGTAGCTGAGCTGTCCAGATCATGTGTTGGGCCAGGTTTATATCAACTGTAACCTGAGTGTGAAAATCTTGCTTTGGTGTAGTTTAGGAGGTATAAACCATCTCTTTTTAGGAGACAGATGATCCGTGGCCCTGTGTCCAGGTGAGCATGCTGACAGATGCTAGGTGAGGGCAGGAGTGCCTTTCCACACCTCCCTCTACAAAGAGGGTTTGAGAATTGCTGTAACTACATTCTGTAAGTGGGTCCCAAAGCCTTGGAACACTTCTTGGAGCTGGAAGAAGCCTGTGTCCTTGCCCTGTCCCTCCTTGTCTCTGTGCTATAAACAGCTGTTGGATGTGAGCAGAAAGGCTCTGCTTTCAGCTTTGATCCCTCTTAGTCAGAAGAGGAAACTGAACCTCTCGTCTGCATCTGAGGTTAGTGCTGTAGGGTGGGATGGGAGCAGGGAAGTTGGGCACTGCTGCTCCAATCTGCTCCAATTCTTGCTCCTCGGTCTGTGTTTTAAAATAAAGCAGCTTTGCTCAGTTTTGGAAGAAGAGGTGTAACCATCTGTCTCCAGGAGAATGTTCCAGGCTGTGGATCCCACAAGGAGAGGGGCACCTGTGGATCATGGTAAAGGAGAGGGTTTCAGGCCTCAGCATTCCCTGTTGGCTACTGCAGACCTTTGGATTCTTGAGATACTGAGAGCCCAAGAAATCCCCTGCTCTTTTTTGTCTGCTTGGCTCTGGGCTTCCTCTGAGTTTGGATGCTGCTTTGAGGTGTGATGATATGTAGTTTGGCTTTTCCAACCTCAAGGCCCTCTGAGTTTCCTAACCTGCCCTCCTTCCTTTTAAAAAATGAGAATGCTTTTGGATGTATGAGCTGATAGCCAAGGAAATGTTTGGGAAAAGCAATTTAGATCCATTGGTAGCATTCTGTCATTGCAAGATAGGTTTGGTACTGGATTATTTTACTGTGCTAATTCTGTAGGGCTTTCCCTTACTTATTTAGCTTTTAGTGTGTTCTGGCTTCTGCTCAGTTGGATGCCTTGTGTTCCACAGGAGATGTGTGGCAGGGCCAGGCAATGAATCCAGTGATCTCACATTGTCCTAGGCTGGTGTTGAAACCACCTTTCCCAGTATTTTGGCTCTGAATGCTCTCAGTGATACATGGTGGCAATTAAAACTGCATTAATCACCTATCAGTACAATGAGGGTAAGAAAATATTCTTGCCTGGAGAGGTGGGGAAAAAAAAACCATAAGTAATGACAATAGCCAGGATCAGCTGTAGGAAAGTTTGACGATGGCCCTGTTAGTCTCCATGGGGAGCTGCATTCCTGTTTCACCTCCGTAAATGTGCAGTGAGAGATCTCCTGGAACACAATTAATGGAGCATGCAGCAGGACCTGCCTGCTCCGTGATAGATGGCTCTGGATGACGAGGGTTGCTGAGACTTACTTCTAATTAGCAGCAAAAACTGTGTCGTAAAACATTTTGGACTCATTTCCTTGCACGTAGTGTTGATTTTCCTTGAAAAACTTATCTTAATTCGTGAAAGTTGCTTGCTGGAATTTTCTTGCTCAAAATATTCCAGATTTATTCAGGCTTCTTCATTGGATTTTTGTGAATTAGTTGTCTTGTTGAACTTGGCCTTCTCAGAGGGGTTGAGTCAATCATACTCTGTGAAGAAGCAAGATTAAGTAGAAAGTGCTTAAGAAGCAGCATAAATCAAAATGTTGCAAGTATAGCAAAGACTAAAATATGTCATCTTGGTGGCTTCAGGAATGGTGCTAAGAGAAGAGATGTAGTGACTGATGATAGTTCCAAGGCACCAATGTAGTGTTTTCATCAGTGAACTGATTTTTTCAACCTTTCTCTCCTGCTCTCTGTATGTGTAAGCTATGGTTAAGGAACAGGCTATCCGTCCTTTAATTAATAGCAAATTTTTCTTTCATGTACCAGCTGGAAAAAGGTAATTAGTCAGGAAAGAATAAAAAGCCTGAAGAAAGTGAGAGTGACATAACCAGAATTAATCATAATTTGATTCTGACACATAGACAACCAAATAATACATAAGAGAGAGACAGGAACATGAATTTCGGCTTTTCTGTGGGAAAAACTACTTGCATGTTTTGTTTCCTAGGTACTTTATCCTCTAGACTGATAGAACCAGTGAAATTTGACAGTTTTGATTGTGTGATTCTGATTTATTTTTTAAATACTGTGTAGGATTGGCATTTTCAGGAATATGATCTCTTGGTTGCCTTTCTAATGCAGCAGCCCTGGTCTGAATTCTGCAGCTGCTTTGAATATATGGTGATGTACACTTTTCAGCTGCACAGTGTATTTCTTTTCTGTGATAACTAATAAGCTCTATTAGATGCATTATTAACTACTTTCATTGATCTTACAATAAATGCCATGTAAGTGGAGATATAGGCATATAAATACACCCCTGTATCTCACATACCTTGCTATTCAATCCATATATCAAAGCTCATATCCTCTGTAATTATCCACTCTCACCAGCAATTAGGCACTGCTCCAGCTTTTATAACAACCTTATTTTGATGCTTGTTTCAAATGCTCTAACAGCAGTGCCATCTTTAAATAAACAATGAGACAAAGCTTTCCACAAAGCAGCCTCAGGGGAATGCAGCAGGCCATGAGCCCCAGGGGAAGTTGGTTTGTTTCAGAAGTTTTACTTGTTCACAGAGCACAGCCTCGGTGTGAGGGAACATAACATTAGACTTAATTACAGCATTATAATTTATGAGGCTGTATGCTTAAATGTAATATCCTTGGTTCAAAGGGCTCATTCTCAAACAGAATTGGAGAGAAAATGGGGATTAAGGAAAGAAGTGATTGATTGATGTGGAAGAGAGTTTACCCATAAGCTGTGTGTGGTGGTAACTGGAAATTAGAGAGGACTTGGATTTTGAATTGAGACAGGACACACAACTTGTGTAGTTCTCAGCTGGGCTGTGGGTGATGTGGGGATTAGTCGGGAAAGAGAGGGGACATTGTTTGACCTGCATGCCCTGAAGTCTTTTTTACCTTGCTTTTACATAATGAGGGGATTAAACTAGACCACCTGTGCGTGGTTCTTGGTGTCACTAGAAACCACAGCTACGCTGTATTTTAACAGCACACTGCAAAGGAAGAAGTCGGTCAATCTCTGACTTCCCCAGCCTGGAAGATTGTTTTTCAAGGGGCACGGTGAGATCTCTGGAACCCTCCGCTGCCGCTGCTGCTCGGCTGGAGCCTGAGCCTGTTTGTTGGGCAGCAGCACAAAGCCGTGCCCTCTGCACTTGAAAGTCTGTTTTCTGCTTGCTTTGAAAGGTCTGCTACTTCTTGGAGCAGAAAAAGGGATGTGGGTGAAGCTGCATCGCTTTGATACACTTGGTATCAAAACGGAGAAAACGAACAGTAGTTCAAGGTTTATTTTTTACCTTGTCTGTGCTGTGTTTTGTCACTTGATCAGAGATGCATATTTGAATTCCTTGAAGGATATATTCCCCCTTATGACTGATTTCTTTACACTTTCATTTGTTATTTGTAAATCTGATTCCACGTAATTACTTGAACCAGCAATTCCACCACTACGTAGATGTGTAGGCACTACCTGACATGGGTCCTGGTTTCAGCTGTTTATGGTGCTAAACCTTGATATTTGGGACCCAGGGTAGATGCCTGGAGCTGAATGTGGAAAGTTTCAAGCAAAATGGCCTTTCTGAGAACAGGTTTAGCCAAAAAAACCCCCAAACAAGCACCAAACCAAACAAAAAAAAGCATGTTTTTTGTAAAGCCCCAAGAGTTTTGCAGATGGGTGTCAAGAGTCTCCCTGAGCTGCAGGGCTCTTTCCAGCACCACTTCTCCAGCATGGAGGGCTTGTCTTTCTCTGCCCCTGTGGAATTTTGCCCAGTTTTAGCAGGTGTAATCTGAGCAAGGATTTCACCCTAGGACTTTGTGGGCTGTCATGATACCTGCCCCTTGGTGGGGGCAGCTTCTCTCTGCTGACACTGGCACCAGGAGCCCTCAACCTGACCTGCGTCTGTGTGGGAGATGAATCCCAGCTCCCCGGATTTCCAGATTTCTTTCCTGGGGAGTCATAGGAGAGGTTCAGCTGCTTTATGTTCCCTATCTCTGGAGAAGTAAAAATAAATTCTGGTTTTAGTGCCTCAGTTCTGTTCAAATACGAAACAAACCAAGAACTTACATTCTTGCAAGGTAAGGTTTTGGAAACAGAGTTAAACAAGAAAAACACAGGGTTAAAATGTACTTATTCATGTCTGATATTAAGTACTGCTTGAGGTTTTGAGGGGCTGTTTTGGCTGTGGTAGCCAAAAGGTTGTGTCAGGAATGCTCTTGTTGCTCTTGTTGCTGATTTTGTGACTCTTTCTGTGCCTCAGCCTCTGTCTGCCTCTGTCCTCTTTCATTTGCACGTTTTGATTGCTGTTGAGGAGAAACAAAGTGCTGTCCAAAGTATGTAATTTAAAAACAGTTCTTGT